CCTTACCTAATTCTACCGCCAAGCAGTAATGTGAGTATTACGGGTAACGGACGCATTGGCAGTGCCCATCGGAAACTGCAACTGCTATGGACAGGCATATCCGTTTCAACCAGACGCACAACTTGTACGTCACTTCGTATAATAATAAAAAACGTATTATACAATAAATAGGATTTAAAATAACTGACTGGACTCTTCCGTTACAATCACTTCTAAAGTTTACTCACCCCTATTCCGAGATAAAGACGTCACTTATCGATTTCAGTATCGGAATGTTAGTCAATAACGAAACTATTATTAGGAACGATAGTTCCTCATAATAGTATAGACTCAGTTTTCATCACCATAAAATTGTAATTTCTCGAAAAATCTTACATTTCAGGTCCCATAATTACGGCTGACTGATCAAAATAGTTACATTTCCAATAGTGTAGCAATCACGAAAACCTATTAACTCGATATAAATATATTATTCTAGTATATTTGGTAACAGATGAATACAAATTTCTTAGATCATATGGCATTTAATCTATGTATAAGGCTTTTAGTAAGTTCTTTAAAAACAGGAATAATAAACAAGAATGATTGCTAATAAAACGAAGGTTTTTTATTTTATGAGACCAATTGATGTATTCGTCCCGTCGTCGCCCACTTGGTGGTAAGTAATATGCCGTTCATAATAGTTTCAGTACCACTCAGTGCGTTCAATCACAAAGATCTGAGGGGCACTGCCACTGCGCCCGTTACCCTGAGACATAAGTTGACAAGTCTCATGTGTCTGTAATTTCACCAGCATCCTTACCTTCATAACCGCAACGCAGTAATGCTCACATTACTGCTTGGCGGCAGAAATAGGTACCCTTAGTGAGGTACTTTATTTATACATTTTAGTAGAGTTGTTATATATTCTCATTAGTCCAGATAAGTACTGCCACTATACCAATATCTAAGGGTAGAAGGGTAAGGGTGCTAATGAAGCGGTACTGCAACGTTTTACAGTAAGTTTTGCGTGAAGTCGTTATCAATTTCATGCAGTCCAGGTCTCGGATAACGACTTCACGCATTAAGTGCTTGAAGTCGAAACCGACCTCATGAAGTCGAGATCGACTACATACAGTTAATGCGTGATGCGCATTAATTGCAAATATGCAGTCAATTTTTTAGCAGCCTAAGTCGCAGACACCGTACTCACATACTTTATGCATCTGTTATTCGTATAAATCTCATGCTGCCCGAAATAAATGTTTATTCCTATTATTTTCAGAGCAGAGGCAAATAATGAATATTAATCAGTGTGCTATAAAACCCAAATTACGCAAAATCGTTAGCATAGCCGTTTTATTGAAAACATTGTGACAGATTTATGGTCCATGACAATAAACTTGGAATAATGTCATCCCAATGACGTCATGCGATAAAGACACGATACGTTAACTTGGGTATAAAACCAATTTTGTTTTTGTTTTGGTGGAGCCGTAATGTGTCCTGGACCTATTGTTTGATTCATAATTCGTACAATGTTGTTAAGGGCTTTGATTGTTATTACGCATCAATTAATCTTAACGACGTACTTAGTTAATATATCCTTAAATATGACATCAGTTTATCGCTAGGTCTCGAAGTATAGAGTGCTGTGTTGTTTGTAGTGCAACTGTATATTTGATTGTAGTGCTTTGTGCCTCTGCAAAATGACAAAAGTGAGTACAAATTTGTAAGGCCTCTGTGGTCGAGTGGCTTGCACATCAGTTTTCATGGTGTTCCCATCCCTGAGGTCCCGTTTCCCCGGCCAGGTCAATGTAGAAACTAACCTAATTTCTATATTGTCTCGGGTATGGGTGTTTGTGGTACCATCGTTGTTTACGATTTCCATAGCTTTAGCTACTGGCTTTGGCATCAGAGCGACGTATGTGATGTTGTCTAAATTTTATTTATTTATAGGATCTATTTATTCGAATTAAGTATTCGTGGTCGCGTAGGTTTTGTAGCGTGTGAGGAGACACGGTGAGGTGCATCTCAAATTCATTGCACAATATTTAAGCCTTTGCCTTTTATAAATAAAGTAAGTAGGTATACTCTATTCACAGAAATCTAAATAAATGTGCCTATTTTGTCCTTTATACAATAAATAAATAATAAAAAAATAAAAAATATTTAGTTTTTTTGACACTCTTATTGTAAAATGATCTCATAGTTCCCTAAAGTTTATTATTATTTATTACGGAACACGGGAGAGAAAATTTCTTTGAAATATCTTTAATTGAATGTAACTGATGTTTCCGTAGATGAACTACACTTCGTTTCATTCCATTTTGATTACCAAGTTTTATTGAAATCGGTTATCGGAAAGTGCGCGAACCCGGATTCATCCCCTAGTTCGCCACTATACCGGACTTGACACAGGAGATAATAAAAATCGGTTCACACTACTCAAAGTATATTAAGAGAGAAAAACCCCTTGAATTGGAGAATAGCAAAATCAACCATTAAAATAATTGCTCCTTGTAATAAAATTAAGGCGCTATTTATAAAAATGAATCTTCATGCATGAACAGCCACCATTAGAGGTAGATGATTTTCATCAAAATTAAATGAGACCACTATGGAGGTACCCTCTTTCCAACAAAAAGAATCGTGCAAATCAGTTCACAAATACCAGAGTTATCGCGTAACATACATACAAAAAAATTAAAAAAAACAGTCGAATGAGAACCTTCTTCTTTTGAAGTCGGTTAAAAATGGTATTCAATTTTCATTTTAGCCATAGCATTTAAAAGAAGAAGTTGAATTTTCATTTTAGAAATTTCATAGGTAAGCAAATTACACTTCAAATTGTGAAATTGATTGGTAAAACCATTGACTTACAAATAAATGGACGACGGGTCTAATACAAAAACCACGAAAAAAATGTCCCAAGTCAACCTATTTAAACGTAGTGACATGTAAAGTAATATGAAAAAGCTAAAACGTTGAATTTAAATTGTAATGTCATCGCAGTACTGTCTAATTTTGCTTGCTTCGCTGTCAGTCGAACAAAAGAAGACTAAAGCGTGAATGACGCTCTGTATACGATTTTAACGTCCTATATGTTCGAACACTTTTTACCGCAGACCCGACGTCCATATAATTGTAAGTCAATGGGTAAAACAGATTCCCCTAGGGGTTGCCTGACTTAAATACATATTTATTCACATTATTTTATCATTAAAATGACTATCTAAATACATTATGGGTAGTACGACTTAAAAGACGCGTTTTCAGCAATATTTAACTAATTTCAACCTATTTCGCATTTAAGAGCTAGTGACCCATGTCGATCCGATGAGATTAGATATATATTCAAAAATGATTTATTAATGAATAGATTTATTTGTCGTCGGCGTCGTCACGACTAGAGTTCCGGTCCTCCATCACGCATGTTAAGTAACAGCGAGAATTTCATCGGTAACCCATGACGTGACATTCGAGGAGACGCACACGGTGGTGGCTTGGAAAAACAGTTTTTAGTGCCTTCCATCACACATATCAAGTAACCGAGAAAGTTACAAGATAAACCGATATTCTTGGATGTTTATGACGACCTCTGTGGTCGAGTGGCTTGCACACTGGTTTTCATGGTGTGGCCATCTCCGAGGTCCCAGGTTCGATCCCGGCCGAGTCAATGTTGAAAAACTAACTTTTCTAATATTGTCTCGGGTGTGGATGTTTGTGGTACCGTTGTTGTTTCCGATTTTAATAACACAAATGTTTAGTAACTTACTTGGGCATCAGAGCAACGTACTCGTACTTATGTGATGTTGTCTAATGTTTATTACTTCTTTATTTATTTATTTATCTTATCCGCGAAGCTATATAATTATTACCTTTAACCTTGAATGAATTCAGGATTTTTTTCCGTTTGTCCACAAACGACTCTCAAGAGGAGTCAGGTTATTTTTGTTCCTTGAATTATTATTATGTCAGTCACTATTTTCCTTGAAGGAAGGTTGCTTTTCTTAGCATAAATTACATTTTCGTCAATGTATTGTGACGCCAGTGAAAGAATGTTAATTTCTTTGAATTTTAGGTTAATGGTCAAAATTTACTAGTAGAAAGAGTTTTATCGTCGTTTGTCTCCTTTGACAAACGAGTTAGACAGCGACTGGACATTGCTTTCAATGAATTGAGAAAAGCTTCTCAAACTTGAGCAACGGAGACAAAAGGCGAAAAAAAAAAAATTTTTTGTATAGTTGAGTTAGCGACGAAAAATGTATAAACATGAAGTCTATCTTTTTTCTTTTTTGTCATGAACTCGTGAAAATATAAATTAAGGCACCCATGTTATCAAAATACATCAAGTGTTATCTAGAGAACCTATATAACAGTTGATTGAGTAGGCAGTCGGGTGGTTTAATTTCGTTGTCAGGTAGGTGTATATATATGTATACTAAGTGGATCGATGTAACTCGCAATTGTAGAAATGGCGAATGACTCGACGTGTCCTTGTGATTCAGCCTTGACTTTTTACATTTCGGGAATGTACCAAGATTTATGTCGTCGCCACTTTCCTTAGCTTAAGTTATTTTACTTCATACATCAGCATTATTTTGGACAAGTAAACTGTTGTAAAGTATCCAATTACTTTCTGCTGAGAAAGTCGTCTTAGGGTTATTTCGTTTCGTAAAAATGACTACGCTTCCTTGTGTGATACACTTCTTATATCCAGCTTGCTCTTTCGTGATTTTTGGCCTTCACAATCTTTACGCACGTTTAGGATCACAGCTGTATCAAAAGGTCACGTGCTGTACAATGCCATCAGTCGGATGGTCACACACATTCATCATTTTCAATTTCCTTCTAAACATAACACGTGATAGTTGTAAACAATTTTCTTTTGCTGTGAACTGCATTTTTAAAAGTTTTCTAGGAATATTTTCATATTCATAAAGGTCCTCATGCCATTATTTTAAAACAAATTTACAGTTAAGCTCTTCCTCTAATAATGATGTATGTCTTTGTTATAGACGGAAAGTGAGACGTCATGTGAAGAAGCAGCAAGACTGACAGCGGAAGGAGCAGCCGATGCTGACGATGACGAGGCCTACTTTGGTGAACTCCCCCCTCCCCCCGACGGGGGTTACGGCTGGGTCGTTGTATTCGCCTCATTTATGTGCAACCTGGTAGTAGACGGAATTGCGTATACATTTGGAATTTTCCTACCAGAGTTAGTGACCTTTTTTGGTGTAGGAAAAGGGACTGTTGCGTTTGTCGGCAGCTTGCTGTCTGGAGTTTATTTGGCTGCTGGTGAGTAGTAATAATAATAATAATAATAATAATGGAAACGCAATCATTTTTTGTTATCTAAGATCGCGTATTTTGGTTGTTTTAGACAAACCAACGTTTCGGGCTCTTTGCGGGTTCCCAGGTCACGGCTGACTTTACATCGATTTCAGGGGCCCTTCACTCAAAGCACGAAATCCGTAGTTACGGTCGTTTTCCCACTATAAACGATCTACAGACTTGAGTTTCTATCGGGGCTAGAAGTAAGAATTATGACATGTGATTTGACATTTTCGAACGGGCCCGTCTTTTGGTTGACGGACTTCGAGAGCAGTTTCGTAGGTCATCCTTAGTGGGGAAAATGGCTGTAACTACGGATTTCGTGTTTCGATAGTAGGGCCCCCGATTAGAAAAAATAGTTTCGTTTCCAATGTGCAGCAATAGCTAGAAGTTAAGAATTCAATAGCCATAAACTTATTATTATTACCATCTTATAATGACTTATAGGCATTATAATGAAAATTTACTCGTATTCTGCTGCGTGATGGGTACGGGTCGATGATGACAAACATTTGTTAAATTTCAGATGTCATGTTTAATTTAAATGAATAACAATATGACCTGCCTTAGTAGTCATCAAAACAACAACGTATAAATAAATAAAATAATGTTTTGCAATTTTGCGAGGCGCATACGCCGCCGCGTTGCAATGTTCAGCCAAATTACTATACAATTATTGTGTTTGCTGATAATGAAGACTTTAATTTCCTTTGTGTTGTTTTAAATTTGAGGATTCTGGTACTTTAGCGAATTATTGTCACAAAGATTTGTATTATAGCCCATTTGTTTATGTACTTAACTAAATGTAAACAATCTTGATATTTAATGAAATATACATTTATAAAATTATTTTTACTTATCGAGTTCTTAGTTTTCGCGATTGTTACACATAGGAAATGAAATAGTTTTTCCGGATTTAAATAGCGTATATTTGTTGTTTATTTTACTTACCTTCAAATACAAAATACAAATACTTAGTTTCATATGAAATTGCATGCCTATTTTTAATTCCTATTAATTTGTAAAGTATATGTTTCAATGAAGAGATGTATCAAGATTGTTTATATTTAGTTAAGTACCTAAAGAAATGGTCTATAGTGGAGAAACTTCACAAAAATAAATGAATATCATATTAGAAAAACATGATATTCAATAAAATCAATGTTAGAATTCACAGCAAATGCCAAAAATAATTTTCGTTCCTAAAGACGAGACGAAAAGAGTAACATCAGCGCAGCGTATTATTAAAAAGTAAAAAATCCACATGTTTTATAATGTTTTTCATTCAAAAATATTATGTTGTATTTTTATTGGCTGTGTTAACGTTTATCGGAGATTATTGTGGTTTTATATTGATGTATCATGTCATAATACAGGGCGGCCCACTTACAGTGCGTGGCCTGAAAACTTTTTACGTGTGACATTAACAAACATTAGTTTCTGATTAACGTTTTTGAAAACAAGACAAAGTGCCTCATGGTATCCTTCCCTTCATAAGAAAGCTACGAACATATTTTCGAGGTTTTGGTGCATTTATTCAGGAATTTACTCCAAAAGGGAACTTCAATTGCCAATCATTCCATAGCACGTGGAAACGGTCTATTTCCTATTCATTTGCGCCATGTTGTTCATTTTATGCAAGCCTTTATTCATGTCATCTGCAAACTCTCAAATGTTTTTGTTTACGTCAATGTTGAACCGACGTATTATTATATGTATAGAGACGCTTCATAATTATTTACCACACGTGTATTGCGGACTTTGTTGAAGCACTCGTTTAATCAAGTGTTAGGGAAAATGTTTGTATAAGGTGTTATGACATAAGTTCACTTAGGTGTTATGTGCAATATTACTTAATTATTTGATGCATGTGAAAAATAAAATCAATCCAAACCGAAGTTATGATAGAATAGGTACTTAATTAATTTAAAAAAAAAGTAAATCTTAGCTGTATTATAACTTTTTTTTTATAATATCAAATGACGGAACAAACACTTCGTGCGCCTGATGATAAGCTACACGCCTGTCCACAAGAGTTGCAGTGCCACTCAGCTCTTTAAATTGCAAAGGTCTGAGGGGCACTGCCACTGCGCTCGTCACCCTGAGACATAAATTGACAAGTCCAATGTGCCTGTGATTTCAACAGCACCCTTACCCTTATGAACCGGGACGCAGTAATGCTAACATTACTGCTTGGCGGCAGAAATATAAACAGAAATAAAAATGTGTCTGATTATACGTAGCTGATTTTGTTTTTGTTTTAAAGAGAAGGTGGCACGTCTTTCCAATATTTTGTGCAAACCTATGAATCACATGTGATTAATACAGATCGGACAAAGTCAAATGAGGTTTTTTGTTCACAAGAATTCAAAGTCTAATATGCACAAGTGTTTCAAACTCTGAGAAGAAACGCTACTAGGCAGTACTAAGCTTGACAATGGTCGTATTATCAGTAAACGAAATAAGTTCTTCAACCGTAAAATTTCAAATTTTATTCGTCAGCCGGTGAATAATGCAGATTTGCTTTAACCATACTAGAAGGTAGTTGTTTTTTCATGGAATATTAGAGAGTATTAGCTAAACAATATGCTATTTTTATAATGGATTGAGGAAAAGCAAATTGATCAATCACGGAGATACCTCTAGGTGTCAAAGACTGAATTACCTTCAGTGTGCCGTCAAATAAATTAACTACCGCATTGTAAATGATTAGTATAAGAACGTACATAAATCATATCTAAAAAAAATATCGACCGAACGAGAGACCCGCGTGTTGGCACATATATTACATCTCCCAATATGCCGCGGTAGGCATCCTATTAGGGAGTTACCACACTTATTAACGCGGTATCGGCTTGAACCGATCACAAAAAACTTTATGCCTATTTTTATTTAGTCTATGCAACAAGGGCGAAAACGCCGTTACGCGTATCGCTTCCACCCGGGTCGCTCATTTGCGAGACGCACAACTCTTGTTCGCTCTTTTTACATGGACAACGACATAACACTTTTTTCACGGGTTTAATGCTATTCAGTGTAGGATAAGTGTAAACCCGTTAAGGGGACCCAATTTCGTCCATCCAATCTAGCCTTTCTCGAAGATCAGTAAATGCACAGGTTCTCTCATGTCATTGTCATGGAATTGCCGGTCAGTTCGTGTTTAATCAAAATTCTGTTTTATTTGTTTTTAACAATACGCTAAGAAAAAGATTTCAAATATTATTTAAGGCTACTAACAGATAGACTGCTTGTCTGTACTGTCGAAACTTTTGTGCTGTCGAAACTACGTCTGCAAGCATCGACTGCAATCAACAGTCAAAAGCAGCAATTGACATTTTTTAAGGGTATATGATTTATATTGCGTCTGAAACGACTTGGTTTTTTTGGCAACAGCGAACTTTCGTCCTTACTCCTAACTCCTCTCGTAACAGTCATACAAAAAAATACAGTCGAATTGTGAACCTCCCCCTTTTTTCAGAAGTCGGTTAAAAATCATTTGAACAGGACCTGATATTATTTATTATTTTTGGGATAAAAATAGAACTAAGCCAATGTAAATACTTTGAATGTTTTTTCTCCACCAGCACTATAATTATTCTTGAAATATAATTTAATTGAACTACTAAGTAGAACTACTGGGAACGAACCAAAAACGTAAACAAAGGCACCATTACAAAAAAACAAAATATTTTGAGTAATTGTGCAAAAGTGAAATTTATCCGCCGTGAGAAATTTCACCAGTAGTGTTTTTGTTTTACCATTATGTTAATTGCTTCAGGTACGAAAAATCATAATTATCTTAAGAATATCAATTGGTGTTTGGACTATGGTTCACGTCGACTGCAGCCAAGGCTAGTTTCGACTGCATGGATTAACTGCAGTCCATCTGTTAGCAGCCTAATATAGATAGATAGATAACACGTTTATTCAGCACAAATACAAACAGAAACAAAACATTTACAATCACTTCACAGAGTATAACATAAAAGCACACAGAACATTCATTATTAATTTTATACACATTTATATAAAACACATACTACGAGAAAAACAAATACTGTGAGAAAAACAAATAAATACTATAAGAACTGATAAAATTTTAATGTACCTATGACTACAGTTTGTGCTGAAATGGCCCTGACTCAGCATAAATACTGTAGACCGAGAGAAGTCAAACAGTGCTGGTTTTCTGCCAGTACCATATGGTGAGCGATCGCAGCCTTGGCCATAGTTCTATTAATTCGATAAGGCAAATCATTCTATTGTTTAGTTTTCGATACATAAAACGAACATGTATAGGTGTGTAAATGCATTATTTAATATAATACTTTATATATGTTAGTATTAGCTGTGAGGAAAATAATAATTACAACAAAATGAAACAAAGCGACCTTGTCAACGTGTTTCATTACTTTCTAATTAATCCATTATTATTTAAAACTCGATTACATTATCACTTATTATTATATTAATTAATATAGTTCATATTATTTTATTAAATATTGATATTGTACGTACAGCATTTTATCATAATATGTCATAATTAATTTTCGTTCACATACAGTTTATTGGCGTTAATCTGCCTCCGTGGCCGAACGGTTACCATGCCGGACTGCCACACAGAGGACCCAGGTTCGATTCCCGGGCCGGGAGAAATATTTGTATGGCTTACATTTATTTCTCTCGTGAGTTTGGGTGCAATTTGTGGTTGTCTATGTGTGTGTCCATGGCACCCGCGACACGGTTTCTCTTGTGCGGGGCTATGTTGAGTGTGTGAGTTATTATTATTTCTTTATCTACCATATTACTTACGTAGGAGAAAGTACAATTGGATAATGAATAAAACATAAATAAATATACCTAAACAAAGTACAAAATACATAAAACAAACATACATGTATAAAACCTAAATAAAACATTTTTAAAATTGTTCCTCTGCTATTGAGCTGAGCGTCTGCAGCCTT